ACACTTTTTTTTTTTTTTTAGTTAGATGAATGATGAAGATGAATCACAGTGGGATTAAAGGCTTGTTTAGCAGCTTCATATGGCCAAATGTATATTAATAACACACCTATACTATATGTGAATGTATTTCATTTTAAAGCCAGGGGCACTGATAGTGAGTTGGTCTTTCTGGGAAACAAGACTTTCCAATAGATTATATATTATGGGGGTTTGCTCCCATTCGGACACCAGAGCATCAGTTTGTGATGGGATCTGGCCAACGCTGTCTTGTGCCAATTTGTAAGTATTTTATGTTTTGGTGAATTGGTGGCTAATTCCATTGTACAAAATCATATGAAATCACCACCTCATAAAAAACTTTTACCATGAGATCGGGTTGGGTATGGTGCACAATTTCCATTCTGATTTATCCCAAATGTCTTAAGTGGGGTTCAGGTCTGGGCTTTGTTCTTCCACACCAGACCAAATCATTTTTATATGGACCTTGCTTAAGAGGCCTTGTGAAACACGTTTATTAAAGCATCCACAGACTTTTGGTCAGACAGTGTAGCTGGATAATGTGCAGGGAACCAAAAAAAGTAGTTATTTATGCACTTTTTTTAGTTAGATGGACAATGAAAATGACTCCCATTGTGTACTATGACATGTTGACATGTGACCTACCGGCATCAGTTGTCGCTTCATTACCATTCACAAATTATTTCAGTCGCATGGTGTAAAATAGTGTCCATCAGATGCACATTTGTGACCCTGGACCACAAAACTAGTCATAAGGCCAGTTTTGGGAAATTAAGATTTATAATCTGAAAGCTGAATAAATACACTTTCCATTGATGTATGGTTTGTTAGGATAGGATAATAGTTGGCCAAGATACAACTAATTGAAAAATACAACTATTTGGAATCTGAGGGTGCAAAAAAATCAAAATATTGAGAAAATCGCCTTTAAAGTTGTCCAAATGAAGTCCTTAGCAATGCATATTACTAATCAAAAAAATAAGTTTTGATATATTTGCGTTAGGAAATTTACAAAATATCTTCATGGAACATGATCTTTACTTAATATCCTAATGATTTTTGGCATAAAAGAAAAATCGATAATTTTGACCCATATAATGTATTTTTGGCTATTGCTACAAATATACCCGTGTGACTTATGACTGGTTTTGTGGTCCAGGGTCACATTTAAGAAGTAGTAAGTCATCCAGGTACTTTCTGCCTATATTTGTTTATGAACATTATGAATTTGGACATACCACTCTTTTCACATAGGCGACTGTTTTTCGCCAGCTTTTTTTCTGAACACGGAATCTCGCTCGACTGAAACAATGCTAGCAGTACATTTCTGTTCTTTGGTGTTTGTAGTCAAATTAACATATTTTCCAAGACGATAGTAACTGTAAGGACCCACCCGCCAGCCCAAAAAGCGGAATCCAGCGGCCTGGTCGAAGGTTTAATGCGTATCCGGTCTTTTACTTGCGCTTCTGAATTTATCAGGACTTAGTTTCAATTTTGTCTAGCTCCGTGTTCAATCTGACTCCAATTTCACGTGATCAGTTTTTAATTAGAAATATTGCTTTGAAAT